TTCCCATCGCGATATGTTTTTTGATTTCCTGGCTGCTGGTGCCAAGAGTGTTGACTGTGGAGCCGAGCAAACTGAACCTGCGAACAATCTCAATCTCTTCGCCATCCATCATGATGCTACCGATTGGTCCAGTGGTGAGAATCTTTGTCTTCTTGACATTGAGCCTCAGTCCATACTGAAGGCTACAGTCCTTGACCCTCTGCAGCAAATGCATGAGGTCCTCCTCAGTTTCATATATTGCTTGTCTGTCTATGTCTAGAATTAATATTTATTATTATTATTATAGGGCCACTTTGAGTCGCAGATGACTCGACGGCACATAACAACAACAACAACATTATTTTTATTGGGATTACACAATATATGTAAAGTTCCTCGTATTGTTACTGGTGTAATAGTTTCTATTTTATCACTTCTACAGTAATAACTTATTATCTAATAAAGAATATAACTTCTCACAGATGATATCATTACATAGCTCTTTTATACACAGAAGTGGGAATTGTACTACTTCGAAGACCCTGGTGGAAATGCTTGTTCCCACTCCGTGACTTGGTTCATTGACCCTCAATCTGAGTTTTCATGTCAGCACTGCTTTTACAGACCTGATCCTGGACCAGCAAGAACTGTCCAGTGAGCTGAATGACAGCATGAGGATTAAAGTACGGGAAGCCCTTCTCAAAAAGCATCATCATCAGAATGAAAAAAAGAGAAACAATCTCATTCCCATTGTTCGCTCCTTTGCAGAGGTTGGCAAGAAGCAGTCTGATCCACATTCAATGGATAAAAATGGTAAGATTTATAGGAATAAATTTTTCTCTTTCTTTATAAATATTTGAGAACCAGTTGGAGATAATATGTTACTAGGGGATAGGGGCTATATTTGTCCAATATACTTTCATGCCAATTTGAATAGTTAGTACTTTTTGATGGCTGGGATGGTAACTGGTTCTCAGTTGGGGCATGAGGGATACATATCCAGTGGACATAAGATGAAGAACTTAAGCTACAAGGTAACCTCAAAACTGACACGACTTATGGGAAATTTCCACACTATGGCTAGAAAAGTTCAGCTGAAATTCTTTTGAATCATAAGAGACAAAATATTATAGTGTAGGTCTTAAGTTAGACTTCTAGTTTTGAGATCCTGGTTTTACCGCATGCAAAATGTATAATTTCAGGCAGCCTCATATGCTTTTTTTTTAAGTTTGCCTGTTTATGACTCCATTTTTAGTTGGAAAAGTGGGGATAATAAATATAACCTGCCCCGTTGTTGCCACTTGCTGTAAGTGAAGAGAACTTGAAACACTCGTTACACTCTTCCATATGGATTACTTCTCAAGAAAACAACAATCTTTACTACTGGACCAATGAGCAACCCCATAGTAGATGGGAAAAGAGTGAAGTTGTCAATAATTTCATCTTGCTTGTGCAAATCAAAACAACTATGAAATATCATTTCACTCTAGCAACAATAGCAAAGTTCAACATGGCAGCAAACAACAAATGTTGGCAAGATTTTGGAGAGATTGGAACTCTTATTCACTACTGGTGGGAATGTAAAATGGTACAACCACTAGGAAAGGTGGTCTGATGCTTTCTCAAAAAGTTGGAAATACATTTGACCCCCAATTCCACTACTGTGAATATACCCTAAAGAAACCAGAGCCAAAAGTCAAACAAATGTATGTGTAGTGTACCCTTGTTTATTGCTGCATAATTTTTTTTTACTTTTTAAAAAATTTTATTTTATTAATTTTAATGAACATTTATAGAGATTTTGGATTTCCATTCATTCATTGTTGCACTTTTCTCCCTGCCCACCCCTCCCCTCCAGTTTGCTCTTCTCTTTGAAAAGAAAAAATTCCTTTCTTGGTATACAATCTCCCTGTCCCCCTCGCCCCACCCCCCACAGACTACTTTTTATGAGCCTGAGCCATCTCCACCTATGTTTCTTGGAGTGTAGTGACTAGAACCATGAATGCCCTTCCTGTAGCTGACACATCTGAGTGCTAAGCACATTGCTGCCTCTGCACTGAGTCTTTGATGGGAACAATGATAAATTTCTGCCCCAAGGCAGAGTCCCGGATTGGTGCAAACTGTCAATTCTAGCACCTGCTAAAGTCAAGTTATTATTATTTACCTGGAGTCTAGTGCACCTCATAGTAACTCTGTGAACAAGGAATCAGAACACTGCCGTATCCTGTGCCAGTCTCACCATCTCCAACATGCTTGAGTCCATTGTCAATGTCAATTGAGTCAATGTGTCAATCCTTGCTGAGGGTTTCTTCTCTTATGCTAACCTTCCACCTTTCTAAGCATGATGTTCTTCACCAAGGTCTGGCCCTTCCTGACAAGATGCTTAAAGTATGTGAGACAAAGTTTTACCATTCTTGCCTCTAAGGAGCACCCTTGTTGCACTTTCTCCAAGGCAGACCTATTTTGTTCTCTTGGCAGTCCATGGGATATTTCATACTCTTCTCCAACACCACAACTCAAAGGCACAGATTCTTCTGTAATCCTTATTCATTATCCAACTTTCAGACGTATCAAGACAACGGCTTGGATCAGGTGTACCTTGGACTCTAAACTTACATCAATGCCCTTTCGTACTCTGGAGAGATACCAAAGAGTAGATTTTCCTAATGTGACTCATCTTTTGATTTCTTGATTGATAGTATCAAGGGAGGGAGCTCTGGTAGCCCAGTTGCAAGAAGCTGCGCTGCAATCCTGAAAGCATGCAGTTCAAGGCCACCAGCTGTTCCGCAGGAGAAGGATGGTCAGTCTGGTCCTATGCGATATACTATGATGTACTGCCTCTGAAAACCTGCTAGAGGGTCAGTTATGGATCAGTTCTGACTCAATGGTACACAATAACAACCACCACAGTGGTAAGAGTGTTAATTGTGGACCCAAGCAAGGTTAAATCATTGCCAAGTTAAATCTTTTCTCCATCTGATGTTACCTGTTGGCCTAGCAGTGAAAATTTTATTTTCTTGATATTGAAAGCTTTAGGCTTTGACCTTCTGCAAAAAGCTTTTAAAGTCCTCACTTCCAATGAGCAAGGTTGTTAATGAATCTTCTTATGATTCTGATGCCATGTGTTTTTTCCCCTTTAAGTCTAACTTCTTGAATGATTTATTCAGATAGATATTGAATAAGCATGAAGAAAGGATATAGCCCTGACATACACCTGTCTTAATTTTAAACCACACAGTATTCCTTGATCCGTTTGCATGATAGCTTCTTGGTTTAGGCATGAAGAGAATTAAGTCTTCTGGGACTCCCATTCTTCTCAATATAGCCATAGTTTGTTGTGACCCACATTTCAAATGCCTTTGCATAGTCAATAAAACACAAATAGATATTCTTCTGGTATTCTCTGCTTTCATATTGCTGCATTATTGACAATAACAAAGAAATGGAAGCAACCCAACTGCCCATGACAAAGGAATGCATAGAAAAACTATGGTATATTTACACAATGGAATATTATGCAGCATTGAAAAATAATGAACTCATAAAATATTAAGCCTTGAGAACATTATATTTAAGTGAAATATCTCAATCACAAAAGGAAAAATACTGCATAATACTGCTATTATAAAACATGGACAGGCTTGGGGGTTTGGGAGGGAAGGGGAAGAGTGCATAGATAATGAACACTGCATTAGAACACAGAGGAATAACTATCTGAAAGGAATGTATGATTATGTATTATATATATGAGAACAATCAGGAACAAGGGGTCTATTTAAGGGTGGTCTGGAGGAGGTGGGGAGAAAATGTGTAACAATGAATTAAAAAAAGAAAAAAAAACCCTCAAACTCCAATTTCATCTTGCTTGGATCCATAATCAATGCCCATCATAACAACCGTCATTGGGAAAATCTACTGTCAAGGACCTCTAGAGTACTAAAGACTAACCATGCGAATTTAAAGACTAAGGTGTGCCTGGCCTAAGCCATGATCTTTTCAGTTACTTTCTGTGTACATGAAAAGTGGACAATGAATAAGGCTGACAGGAAAAGATTCAATGACTTTGAATTATGATGTTGGTAATGAGAACAGAATATCCTATGAACTGCCAGAAGAACAAATAAATTCATATAGGAAGAGGGGTGAAACTTCATCTCATATACTTTTTGTGTGTTATCAGGAGAGGCTGGTACTTGGAAAAAGACATCGTTCAGGAAAAGGTTAAAGGTCAGAGAAAGACAGAAGGACCCTCAAGGATATGGATTGACACTGTACAATGGGCTTGATTATATCAGTGATGATGAGGATAAGGCAAGGTTCAGATCTGCTGTTTGTAGTATCTCTGTGAGTTAATACTTGACTCAGTGACACCTAACAATAACAGCTACCCCATTATTGTGAGGCTTCAATATAAAGTTTTTAGTGTGGAAGTATGTGATGAATTTCCGCTTCTGATTAATTACCTTTTCTCTAGTTTAGTTAGGCACATTGAATCTAGTGTACAATATTTAGGGCCTAATCTAAATGTAATTTGAATAGTTTTTTAAAAAAATTTTATTTTATTATTATTTTTTGTGTGTACCGTCAAATTGGATCTGACTGGTACAGGAGGAGATTGCTCCTCTTTCTGCAGCAGAGCACCTAGTAGATTTGAACCTCGAACCTCTGGGATTGTAGTGCAGCGTGCAGCTTCTTGCCACTAGGCCACCAGAGCTCCCTGAATAGGTTTTTTATGAGGATGTCTGGTATGCTTTTCTGGCTAATACTGCCTTAATAGAAAAAAAGAGACATGAATGTATTTAGGAATGTTGTTGTTGCTATGTGCCGTTGAATCGCTTGTGACTCATAGTGACCCTATGTCCCACAGCCCTAAACTCTGCTCTGTCCGGTGCCAATCTCACTATCTCCGACACACCCATCCCGATTATCCCAGTCACTGAATCAATCCACCTTCTAGAGGGCCTTCCCCTCCTGTGCCTGCCCTTCACCCTCCCAAGCATGGTGTCCTTCTCCAAGAACCAGTCTCTCCTTACAACATGACCAAAGTATGTCAGACAAAGCCTCAGAATCCTTGCAGTCCAGTTTAACCCTCTCCAGGATGAATCTGTTTTCTTAGCAGTCCATGGTACCCTCAATACTCCAACACCAAAGCTCAAAGGCATCAGTTCTCCTTCTATCCTCCTTGGTCATTGTCCAACATCTCTATAACAAGTGATTGCAAAGGCCATGGCCTGTATCAGATGCACCTTAGTCTCCAGAGGGACACCATTGCTCTTCAGTACTTTGGAGAGGTCCCTCACAGCAGACTTTTCCATCGCAATATGTCTTTTAATTTCCTGGCTGCTGGTTCCAAGAGTGTGACTATGGACCAAGTATACTAAAGCTGTAAACAATCTCAATCTCTTCACCATCCATCCTGATGCTGCCAGTCAGTCCAGTGGTGAGAATCTTTGTCTTCTTGACATTGAACCTCAATCCGTATTGAAGGCTGCAGTCCTTGACCCTCTGCAGCAAGCGCTTCAGGTCCTCCTCAGTTTCAGCAAGCAAGGTTATGTCTTCTGCATGACGTAGATTGTTGACAGATCTTCACCGCATTTCTCCTCATAGAGCTCAGCCTCCTGGATAATCTGTTCTGCATACAGGTTGAAAATGTATGGAGACAGGCCATATCCCTGGCGTACACCCTTCCCAATTTTGAACCATGCAGTGTTTCCTTGCTCTGTTCTGATGACTGCCTCTAGGTCCAAGTACAGGTTTCACATTAGCATGATCAAGTGTTCTGGTATTCCCACTCTTCTCGGAGTCCTGCAGTTTGTTATGATCTATACAGTCAAACACCTTTGCATAATTAATGAAACACAGATAGACATTCCTCTGGTATTCCCTGCTTTCAGTCAAGATCCATTTAACATCAGCTACAATATCCCTAGTACCACGACTCCTTCTAAACCCAGCCTGGACTTCTGGCAGTTCTCTGCTGATGTGCATTTCCAGTCATTGTTGGATAATCTTCAGTGGAATCTTGCTTGCATGTGAAATAAATGATATTGTTCTATAGTTTCCACACTCTGTTGGGTCACTCTTCTTTGGAATGGGAACAAATATAGATCTCTTCCAGGCTGTTGGCAAAGTGGTTGTTCTTCAGATTTCTTGGCACAACTTGATGAGCACATCCAGGGCAGCATCTGTTAGGTGAAATATATCAATTGGTATACCATCTATTCCTGGGGCCTTATTGTTTGCTATTTTCTAAATAATGAGACACAGGCAAGTGGATGTGGGTCCTGGCTATATAGTCATCTCAACTTCTTTCAAACCTTCTACAAAATAGTGATATCCAACTAATGGATGGAGAGTAGGGATGAACCATAAGGAGAAAAAGCCAGAGACTCAATATTCCATTTCATTTTCTCCAAATAGGTCAAACAGTGTCTCCTCAGTCTGTCCCAGCTACAAATCTTGAAATAAAAAATGGAGTGAATTGTGAACACAGTCCTGTGGATTTAAGCAAGGTGAGCAGAGGCATGGGAATTGGGTGATGGCCTAGTGGTAATGAATTTCACTGCCGAGTCAAAGACACACGGTTCAAATCCATCAGATGCTCTATGGGAGAAATATGGAATCTCCTCTTTGTAATTTACTGCCTCTGAAAACCCACTGTAGAGGTTGGGGGAGGGGTTGGCTATGAGTCGGTTCCAACTCAACAGTACACAACAGCAACAATTACTAGAAACTGGCTAATCTTTGGCATTTCAAGATTTTTTTCTCTAAGACCAGGAAACCTGTCGACTCATGTCTTCTCCCTTTTACCTCAACTTAATAGTTTTCCTCTAGATTCCACATGGAGAATATTCTTCGAAGCAGACCTCTTAAATTTTATGTTGTTTTCTTGATCCCTGTTCTCCAGCTACTGCTAAAATTCCCCCATGATTGAAACTTTTTGGGGCCTATGACTTTGACATTGAGGCTTTCCACAGAAGCAGTGTCTCACTGTAGTTAGTTGGTTCTAGCCTTGGTCTTCCTGTCTCTAGTTCTCCTTGTTTTGATTTTTCCAGGATACTGTCTTTTCTAAAACACAAATAGTGTTTTAGAACACTGTCATATCTCATAAGGCCTCCCATTTTATTTAGAAAAAATTCAAACCTCAATGAAGCATTTAAATAGCTGAAAATGCAAAGATTTTGACTCAGAGCTTCAGAAGCATTTTTCTTGGAGGAAGGACGGTGCAGTGCACCTAGATTTAAATCCTTACTCTCTTGCTGAAAAATTGTGTGGTCATAGACAAGTCAGCTTCTTTTTTTTTTTAGATCTCAGTTGTTTCACTTGGTTTTTTTCCCCCTAATGATAAGAAGATCTAAGATCTATCTTGCCTATCTTATAGGGTTATTGTAAAGATATTGAGATAATATGAGAAAACATTTGATAAACTGAAATGCTCTTATGAATATGAAGGGTGAGGAGGATGATTAACGTTTGAGGTGACAATTATCTAGTCAGGTTTACTTTGGACTTTCAGGTGGACCTTCATTTCATGAAAAAAATTCCCACTGGTGCCGAGGCCTCAAATGTCCTGGTTGGAGAAGTAGATACTCTGGATCGGCCTATCATTGCCTTTGTGAGGTTGTCTCCAGCTGTTCTTCTCTCAGGCCTGACCGAAGTGCCAATCCCAACAAGGTAAAGCAGACAGCCCGACTTAGTACATTCTAATTAAATTCCATATTTATTTGAGCTCTGGTGGGAGAAATTAGCTTAATGCCAAAGTTTGGGATTGATTAATTTTTTTTCCCTTTGGGATTGATTAATTTTGAGAATGTTGTATAAATGCTGAAAATTGCTTTGGATTAACCATCATGCAGAAGAATTTTAAAATCCTAAGGCGATAACCTTGGAAGCAGAGAAGTGAGGAGTATTAGAAGGACCTAGCTAAAGCTAGATTTGCTGGATGACAGACCTAAGTAATGCTCTTCCAGTTTTATAGAGCCATATCCTGGGATGCTGTTTCTGAACAAAGGCTTTGATATCTCTCTCTCTTTCCATAATTTTGGCAGAATTTTTATGGTTTGCAGATAGGCCCTCTGATACCCTTAGTTTTTTTAAAGGCTATTCCTATTCTCTGGTGATGCAGATGATTCAGAGCCCCATTAATTATTGAGTATTCGAATGTCCAGAACACAATTGAAACTCCTCTATGGGACTTAATAATTTCAGTTTCTTTATCCTCTCTTCTCCCCATTATTTTCTTGTTAGAGCAATGAATGGGATTCAGATAAGCTTGAATTTGCACTACAATAAAAATGTCATGTTTTGAGAAAACTGTTCTTTCTATAGCAAGGAATTGTGTCTATTGGAAACTCTTAGAAATATAACCAAGTTATTCAGTGTAGTCCATACCAATAGTTGAACTGTTAGGTCAAGGCAACTCCTACTGTTCATTAGTCGTTATATTGTTTATTGTTGTTAAATCAGAACCAACTCATAACTGACCCCCCAGTGCCCTTTCAGAGACTGTAAATTACATGGGAGGAGATTGCCCATCTTTCTTCCGAGAAGCACTTGGTGGATTAGAACCATTTGCCTTTGTGTTGGTAGCATAATTCCTTACCATCAAGCCTCCAGAGCCTCCATTTCTTGAAGTTCAGTGATAATTTCTGTTTGATAGGAGAGAGAAACATTCTACTGTTTAAAAAGGAGCAACGAGCCACTTTAAGTTCACTGGCATAATTTTTGCTTCTATGTGTTTCCAGGTTTTTGTTTATTTTGTTGGGTCCTGTAGGGAAAGGCCAGCAGTACCATGAGATTGGAAGATCTATGGCCACCATCATGACAGATGAGGTATGCTTCACTCCTGCTTTTCAGTCATTCTTTCTGTAAATGTTTGTTGAGTGTTTACTCTGTCTCAGGCCCTTTGCTACATATTAGTAATTGCAGTGACTGCTGGAAAGTAGTGTAGGGGCATGTTCTTAGAGCCTATTGTAGAAGGGGTTGGGACCAAACCCTTTGGGATACTTTTCTTCCTGTGTCAGCTCTTTCTGTTAAGTAAACAATAAAGAAGAGAAATTATTTTCTGGCAATTTATTCTTGCCAATAAGAATATGTAGACTACATTAAGGCTGATTTAATTTCCTAAAGAAGATAATTAAATGCATCCAAGCTATTTATGAGGGAAAAAACCTCACTCCTGCTTTACATAAATGAGACCAATTATATAAGAACCAGATATATGACATTATAATGTGAATGTCCTGACATGTCCACACTACAGTGTCTAGACATTTTGACAGTGCATTGTGCTGAATCCACAGTGCATATCCTGGTGAGAACTGTCATGTTAATTTGAATTAAAAGTAAGACTTTTAATACATACATCTCAGAAAGCATAGGGAGATGAAGGCTGTGTTTTATAAACTGCCTTTGATTGAGAGACTTCTCACACAGCCAGTTATCATTAGTCATTCCATAAATTTTTCCAGCCAGTATGCTCAGAAAATTTTGCATGTGTCTTAACTTTTGTTGCATTCATTCCATTCATTAAGGAAATAATATAGCTGTGCAGCTTTGGAGTCACGTCTTATCTCCCCTTATGCAAAGAGACATGTATTTACTTATTTTTTACTTATAAATAAAAAAAATCCTTTATCCATTTATCCTTGTACTTTTCTAAGTCATCAGTTTTATGCATCTCAATTCCTGTGATCAGAGATAAAACTTAAGAGATTGTATCCATCCTTTACCATGTCATCTGATGATTGTTTTAAGTAAAGTTATTGTGAACTTGCCTGAAGGTTTTTTCCTTCTCTGTAGATTTTTCATGATGTGGCATATAAGGCAAAAGAGAGAGATGACCTCCTGGCAGGGATTGATGAGTTCCTGGACCAGGTGACGGTACTCCCTCCAGGGGAGTGGGATCCTTCTATTAGAATCGAGCCACCCAAAAATGTCCCTTCCCAGGTAATGTGTGCACATCAGCCAATAGTCATTGTCATTGTTTATCAAGTGTATCTCACGAGATGAGAAAAGACCATGCGTATGTACGCTGACCAAATAAGAGACACAACCTTCTGCTGGGATACCTAGCATGTTAGAACAATAAGAAAAAGTAAATATTCAGTAACATAGATGGCCCAGGTGTGATTAGGCTAGTCACTTCATTACTAATTAGTCTGGGGATGAATTTCTTAAGCCAAGTTCTGAAGAATTCATGTGAAATGGCAAGGGGTGGATGGAGGGGAGGAATTTTTGGGGCAAATGAGAAAATTTGGGGAGTATGTCATATATGAAGCCACCAGATGGTATAAGGACATCAGAGTTCCCGTTCCACTCCCCATACTTGTTTTTAACATATTAAATTTGAGAAGGAAATTCCTACTATGGAGTAGACACCAGGCCAGATATTTTACATTTGCTAATTTAATCTTCACAGCAACATTCTAACTAGGTATGCATTGTCCTGTTTTTACAAATGAGCATTAAAATTTGAAGAGAAGAAACCTGAAAAATTTATCTTTGAAGGCAAAGTTTTTATGTAAAAGCAATACTATGCAGATGGAAATTTGAAACTTAAAGTTTAGGTCATATCTTATCCCAAATAAAGCAAAATGAGAGTTGTCATTGTTGTTGTAGGGGCTGTTGAGTACAACTCATAGCAACCCTATGAACAGTCAGCCTGAGACGTGCTCTATCCTGTGCCACCCTCATGATTCTTACCACACTAGAGTCTGTTACTGAAATCACAGTGTCATTCCATCTCGTTAGAGGTCTTCCTCTCCATTGATGACTCTCCATCTTTCCAAGCAAGACATCCCTTTCCAAATTATAGCCTTCCCCAGCTACATGTCCAAAGTAAGAAAGATGAAGCTTCATCATCCTTGCCTCCAGAGAGTACTCTGGCAATACCTTTCCCAAGAGATACCTGTTTTACTTTTGGCAGTCCATGGGATATTCAGTACTCTTCTCCAGCACACCACAATTCAAAGACATTAATTCTTCTTCTGTCATCCTTATTCATTGTCCATCTTTCTGATACATAGCAGGTAATTGAGAAGATCTGTATCTAGTGCACCTTAGTGTTCAAATGGACATCATTGCTCTTCAGTATTTTGGAAAAGTCCCTGACAGCAGACTTGCCCAATGCAATACATCTCCTATTTCCTGACTGATGGTACAAGGAAATGAAGTAAATAAAGCAAAATGAAGATTAAGTACTAATAAAAAAACCATGTATATGAAAAAGTATTCATAAATAATATTTAGTAACTATTTATGAATGCAAAGGTGTATTAATATTTGGTGACAGATACAGAAGTTGGAAAGGAAGCAAAAGATCTGATAGTTGGACAATATGGTTTAGATTATAAAGATCGAGATTATATGATAGAATGTTGTACAGTCAGTGATTTATTCATGGAAAATGCCTTTTTTTTGAAAATACAAATGGCAGTTAAAAATATGGATCTCACCTGATGGAAAACATAGGTATCTGTGGAAAAGTCAGTAGAGAAGCTCAGTATGAGCAGTAAAAACAAAGTACAGAGCTAAATGTGGAACAGACCATGACTTAATCGTACTCATTTGTAAGTCCAAATTGAAGCTAACGAAAATGAAAACAAGTCCACAAGGAACAAAATACACATTTGAGTCTATATCACTTGAACTTAAAAACCGTCTCAGAAATAAATTTGATGTAGTGAACACTAATGGCTGAAAACCAGACAAGTTGTGGAATAATGAGAATGTTAACATTAATATCCATGAAGAAAACAAAAAGTCATGAAAAAAAAGGAGAGACAAAAATTCTGAAACTTGCTTTTCAATATAAAAACTTATTACTATTCAGCTGGAACCAAGTCACAGCTGACCATCCAGCAGGTTTTCAGAGGTGTGTGTACATGAGAGGCAATTGCTCATCTTTCTCCTGCACAGTTGCTTATGGATTAGAGCCACCAGAAAGGAGCCGCCTTTTAGGTTAGTAGCACAGTGCCCTGTGGACTAAAGCACCAGGGCACTTCAACACTGAAAAACTAAAGTGAAGGGGAGAAAAGATGAAATAAAAGAGCTGAATAGAAAATTGCAGGTCCTGCGTCCTGGTTCCCACCGCTGCCTCGCATCCATTCCAGGAGGGTCCTTTCGGACGCTGCCGCTCAGAGCCGAGCCTTGTTTCCCAGGGATTGACGACAACACAAGCTCACTCGGGGCCAGTGGGAGGACCGCATCCAGGTGTAGCACGCCAAGCACCACGGGATGCTCAGAGACAGCGCCATGCTGGAGTACCTGAAGATGGTGCAGGACCTAGAGATGCATGGCATCAACTATTTCGAGATAAAGAACAAGAAAGGCACAGACCTTTGGCTCGGAGTGGACGCCCTTGGGCTGAACATTTACGAGAAAGAAGACAAGTTGACCCCAAAAATCGGCTTTCCTTGGAGTGAAATCAGAAACATCTCTTTCAACGACAAGAAGTTTGTCCTTAAGCACATTGACAAGAAGGCCCCGGACTTCGTGTTCTATGCCCCTCGCCTGAGGATCAACAAGCACATCCTGCAGCTGTGCATGGGCAACCACGAGCTGTACATCGGCCGTCGCAAGCCCAACACCATCGAGGTGCAGCAGATGAAGGCCCAGGCCCGCAAGGAGAAGCACCAGAAGCAGCTGGAGCGCCAACAGCTGGAAACAGAGAAGAAGAGGAGGGAGACAGTGGAGAGAGAGAAGGAGCAGATGATGCGGGAGAAGGAGGAGCTGATGCAGAGGCTGCAGGACTACGAGCAGAAGACCAAGAAGGCCGAGAAAGAACTCTCCGACCAGATCCAGAGGGTCCTGCAGCTGGAGGAGGAGAGGAAGCGGGCCCAGGATGAGGCGGAGCGCCTGGAGGCCGACCGTGTGGCCGTGGCCGCACTGCGGGCCAAGGAGGAGCTGGAGCGCCAGGCGGTGGATCAGATAAAGAGCCAGGAGCAGCTGGCTGCAGAGCTGGCCGAGTACACAGCCAAGATCGCCTTTCTGGAAGAGGCCCGGCGGCGCAAGGAGGACAAAGTGGAAGAGTGGCAGCACCGGGCCAAAGAGGCCCAGGATGACCTGGTGAAGACCAAGGAGGAACTGCACCTGGTGATGACGGCGCCCCCGCCGCCGCCCCCGGTGTACGAGCCAGTGAACTTCCACGTCCAGGAGAATATGCAGGAGGAGGGCAGCGAGTACACGGGCTACAGCGCCGAGCTGTCCAGTGAGGGCATCATGGATGACCGCAATGAGGAGAAGCGCATCACGGAGGCCGAGAAGAACGAGCGCGTGCAGCGGCAGCTGAGGACCCTGACCAACGAGCTGTCCCAGGCCCCGGACGAGAACAAGAGGACCCACAACGACATCATCCACAATGAGAACATGCGGCAGGGGCGTGACAAGTACAAGACCCTGTGGTAGATCCGGCAGGGCAACACCAGAGGATCAACGAGTTAGAGGCCATGTAGGCGCGGCCGAGGCAGGACTGTCCCCTGAGCGCGTGCTCCTGGAATATGCCTGCTAGCACCCCTCATCATATTCCAGTTTTCTTTCCAGCGCGAGTAGTTCACTTCAGTGGGAGCGTCTGGGGGCCGGAGGGCTTCTGGGCTGTTACCCAATTGTATCATAGTGCCAAACAGGTGTTCTGTTAGGATCACACGGCCACTTCCTGTTTTGTGCTTGGAGCAGGACTGATTGGAGTTTAGGGAACGATGCCTAGAAAAGTCGGGAGAGGAG